TCATGAAAGAACAAGATAGTTCTAGAAAATAGAGGGCGCCACACCAGTCACGTGACCTCGATGACGCAACGATACTATCCTCGTGAAGACAACGAAATAAATGCTTTGCCTGGCGCAGGTAATTTTATTAGTCAATAGCAGGGATAACTTGCTCTGGTTGGAATATAATATAAATATGAAGAAAACTACATGAAGTGCTCGTATAATCCTGCCTTTGTTTTTCAGATAGTACAAGTTGCTGGCGCTGGTGTAATAATACATTGGGAACATTCTAGTAACAGCAGTTAAGTTCGTTGATTACTTTATAATCATAAATAATATGTAGCTGAATGTTGTTGTTGTACATGTTCACCGCACAATGCCGCATTGACACGCTGATAGACGATATTGATTGCAAGATAATAATACATTGTATAAAATAGCGCGCTTTTCACTTGTCGAAATTGAAACGGTGACTTCAGACATCTTCGTCGGCCAACACACAGTCACCGGAACACAATCAGATTGGTCATTTTTAGGATGAACTTCAATATTGTATCAGTCACCTTCATCCTCTGCCAACATTTTTTTTCAATTTCGCGCAAAGCTACACGACGGCTATCTGCGCTAGCCGTCCCTAATTTAGCAGTGTAAGACTAGAGGGAAGGCAGCTAGTCATCACCACCCGCCGCCAACTCTTGGGCTATTCTTCTACCAACGAATAGTGGGATTGACCGTCACATTATAACGCCCCCACGGCTGAAAGGGCGAGCATGTTTGGTGGGACGGAGATTCGAACCCGCGACCCTCAGATTGCTAGTCGAGTGCCCTAACCACCTGGCCATGCCGGGCCTACTACAAAAAGATATACAACACATTGATATATTGTATTCTTTGTTTCATTGAAGTTTTCAATCTTCCTCAGGGGTCGCCATCAGGCTAATTCAACAGAAGAATACATTTATTACATCTGATCTTTAATAAACACTGTATTTTCTACGTTCTTGATAAACAATCTGGGGCAATAATCCATAGAAAACTTACGTATAGTATTTTAACATTAGAAAAAAGTGTTTTTCACTAACATTCAAATTCTTGGGAATAAAGTCAGCATAAAATGAACTGTGCAAAACATGTATACATACACATAGAGTGTGATTCAGAAGTATATTGACTGGCAAATAATTTAGAAATGGACAGATATGGGTATATTATTGTTAGAGGTATGGAATGAGGTGTTGCGGGTCTAACCTGTGAGAATATCACTGCAGTCATTCAAGGTCATGTCATTCGGCATTTAATTCATCTGCACCATACACCCTAAATTTCAATAGCAATTGTGTACACAATAACAAATAATACATTTTAAACTAAAAAATTACCAAAATCGCTTTTCAAGAACAACAGTTATGGACGTAACTGCATCCTTTTCATAGGGAATTGTGTCATGCACTGAGGATCAAAATCCAACAACAGCAAATGTTTAAGACGCAATAATCAGATCATCGCACCTTCAAAAGGTCCCCAAAAGGTAAAAAAAAAGTATTAACATTAAAATACCTACATCAGGTAGAGTACAAGTATTCTGCTGCAGCTGCTCCCAAATAATGTAAACAATGAATAGTGTTCATTTAAAAAGCTGTATAACATGGCATTACTGTGTATAAATAAAGAATATTTACAGTATGATCCTATGAAGTGCCTATAGATAACTGTGCGATAAGACTGTTTAAACAGGTACTGGGAAACAGCCGTCATCATGTACTAGATGGATTATGGAAAACAAACAGGAAGAAACATTGTGCTTTGGACATGACATACTCGACCTTTGTATACGCTATGCTAAATAACTGACTACCAAGTTTATAGTTATAAATATAAGCTGTGGAAACAAATACATAATAAGAATAACGGACTTTATACTTTGTAAGTGGGCAGTTAGGATCACCAGTAGAGCTTACTTGGTGGTTTTAAAAGCCTGTTAGTAATACGAGACGTCTTTTTAAACGTATTTTCAAATATTATCATGTGATATGGCGTTACTACGCAGCCATCACATGATTCAAGGTGATTTGTGCAATGTTGCAGAAATAAATGTTTGTATAAAACAACGCGATTTAAAAAAAGTAAAGTATTGTATTACAGGAGAGTAGGATGTTATAAAAACTCCAGTTTCAAGTAAGTACAGAGATACGTACTTATCTTTCAAGGGTTATAATATCAGTCGATAAAGTTTGAAAAAACAATATCGTTTATAATTATATTAAACCATATTAAGAGATCTTCCTCAGATGAATTTGTTTATGAAAAATATAGACTTTTAGTTATTTTGTTTTGTATTTTACTGTTTCATGCTCCTTCACCCTATTGATCTCGGAACTGATATCATTTTTTCATTAATAATTCATTATGTTCGTCTTCAGTTGTCTTAGTAATTAATAAATTTTTTTCCTTACATTTTTTTTCATTATTTTTCTCCTGACGTCTCTAGATTAGTCAAATATATATGGTAACAAGAACTTCTATATTTAATTGTAGTTAACGGTCTAAATACGAACAGCTATTGTAACTTTGTCTAGCATGGTGTGGTGGTTAAGGCATTTGACTCACAATCTGCGGGGCGCGAATTCGAATCCTGTAACCGAAAATGTTCGCCTATTCAGTCCTAGAGGTGTTATAATGCGACGAGCAATTCCACTTTTCCTTAGTAAAACGAGCAGCCCAAAAGATGGTGGCGGGTGGTGTTGACTGGATGCCTTCCCTCTAGTCTATCACTTCTAAAGAAGGAACGGCTATCGCAGACAGCTCTCGAGTAGCTTTGCACAAAAGTTTAAAAGCAAACAAATTGTGATGTTGATAAAAGAAAGCAAAACAAGACGCGGTAATGGTGCTAAAACAATGTATTTTAAATTCTTTATTCGTTAACATAGGGAAATATCATTTAAAAATTTTAGTTGATACCTATAGACGTGAAAATGTTACTACAAGACACCCTAGTAGTTAGGGCTGTACCCTATGACGGAAGTGACGTCTTAGATCCAAGAAGTGACACTAGAGAACCAGAAGTTGTCATGCCGCCATGATACTTGACGAGGGAAATTGTCTGCTGCCATAGAACGCGTTGCTAGATGTTACGTGACATCATAGTTCGAGTTTTGCTCAACAGAGTGTTTCTAGGGGCTCGTTGCTAGGACTAATAGTTTCACGAAGTGGCACCAGAGAGCATATTGGTATGTTGAGCGCGCAAATAGTTCGCTAGCTACCACCAAAGGATGATCTAGATCAACCTATCTCAACATGTCATCAACTTTACAGTAACAATCAAAGTCTTAAAATTAATAATTTATCTAATTTGCATAAAGTTGTGTTTACAGTTATCACTACTGAAAAGTTTTTATCACAATTACAGATTCACTTTATAAGTAAAATATTAAATCTGGGATGCTGTTACCAAGGTTCTATAAGCGAATGATGTTATTAAGGTTCTATAGATGGATGGCCTTATTAGGCATATTGTGTGTATTTTACAAAGGCGGATGATGTTCCTATAGGTGGATAGTGTTACTATAGTTCCATAGTATTCCATAAAGATTTCAGTTTCTCTCAACTTATGTTTATAGTTTTCATTTCTATACATACATATATATATATATATATATTTATTTAATTATATTACATATTTTGTACAAATGCTTGTTTGTTTGTTTTTTTAATTTCGCGCAAAGCTACACGAGGGCTATCTGCGCTAGCCTTCCCTAATTTAACAGTGTAA